CGCCTTCGCTCGAAACGTCGAAGTTCTCCTTGTATTTTTCAGGTAGTTGTATCCCTATCAATCCGAAGCTTTCGCACATATTCCCTCCAGAATTTCTAGTTGTTTTCAATCGATTTCAGTGTAAAAAAGTAGCAAATTTTCGACGAGAAATTCCAAATACTTTGTTTATATTTTCCAACAATTGCCAAGCATGCATAGAACTCACGTTGGAAATCCAACGTACTGTCTGCCGTTAGCCAATCACAGGCCTGAATCAATTCGATTTCTCCAGAGCTATGCCCACCCTTAACCTGCGAACGGGCATGCTCGCGGAACGAGATTGTATATATATATATATATATATATATATATATATATATATATATATATATATATATATATATATATATATATATATATATATATATATATATATATATATATATAACTGGGTATTGGAACGTGGATAGAGGCAAATTCTTGGAATTTGGAATGGGTTCACATGCATGCAGTATTAATACTTTCAAACTATGCGGACAGATGTGAGTTATGCTGAGAAGCAGACCAATAAGAAAAGCTGTAGTAATTAATACATGATTTGTGCTTGTTTAATAACCCTTTAATAACAACACATATCATATAACACGACAGATGTCGTCCACGTACGTTGCATAATTGCATTGGATTTAGCACATGACTAGCGTCTCATCGAAGCTCAAAACATGGCGATGCAAACTCTCCGTCTGGCTCTGGTTTTATCGTTTTTCTACTTTGCCTTTTGCAAAGAAGACAACAAGAAGCCTTATTACATAAAGAAGAGCTCATTCTGCTATTCTGATAAAAATAGTGAGGTCTGTAGCGGTGATAAATACGACTTCTACGCAGCCGTAGAACAAGTCATTGATGATGTGAATAAGCTATCGGAAAAGGAGAAAGGCATTGGAAAGAAGTCCGGCGTTTGCGCGAATGCTTTGAAAAAAGCGATGTGTTCAGACGACAAACCACTTTGTTTCGAAGGAGACGATGATTCTGGCGCCAAAAGAGTCTGCGGACAGTTGCGCAACGAATGCCCACTTTTGGCCGACGATTCCTTCGACAAGTACGAAGACGGATGCGTGAAATATATGCAGAGAAAGTTCAAGAACTTAACGTGTGTTGGGATCGGCGTAGACGTAGAATTCAAAGGATATTGTCCAAAGCCCACAGGCAAGGTAGGTCGTTGTGTCTGTCGTTCATAAATCATTTCTAAATCGAAAAGCTTGTAATTATACCGGTATGTAAAATTCTTTGGTCTGCAGACACACCCGAATCTTGAGAAGGGTGGGCGAGCCTTTTAATTGCCGCTAAACAAGAATGGAGAGCCTAGTCGCTGTCTTCACGATAACAAATCTATTAACTCGTCCCCAATGGGGCTTTTCAGAGATAATTATCAAATAAATTTAAATTCTTGTTGTTAGATTTCAATCATCTTCGCGTATCATTAAGGCCTGATTCCACGACGGCGAAAGTCTTCGCGAGAAATTGTGTCTGCGAAATACGAATGGTTGGAAATGTTCCAATTTTTCCGCTTTCTCAGTGAGTAGAACTGACTTTTACTCACTGTTGAAGAGAAATTTTTCTCGCGAAGCTTAATTTATCCTTGCTGCCCATGCACTAATTCATTTCGCGCGAAATTTTTTGTATTTCGACGAAGAAAGCGCCCGTGGAATCAGGTCTTTATGAGCGCTAAGAACGGACGTGTAACACAGAATGATATACTGTATACTGTCTCGTAGAAATATATTCATTCGTTTCACATTCATTGAATGTTATTCTGAAACTTCAGAGAGAATAACGAAAAATTCGTTATCACAGCCGGATTCGAACTTTCGTTTTCGGTTTTCAAAACCTCGTCTCCTTTCGCTGAACTGCAGGTGCTCAGGGGCCGCGGAACCGCGGGCCTGAATGGGGGAATTTTGAAAGTGAAAAAAGTGCCCTTTTTTCTTGGCTAAAGTGCCCCATTTAACTAGAACAAAAAAAGTATTTCTTGTATGAACGCCCTCTTTTCCTGGAAAGAAAGTGCCCTTTTTGCTGTAGTAAAGGCCATTTCCGACGTTATAGAGACTCTATATTTTCAAAAATTTTCGTCCGGCTCATGAACGACCTAAAATTGTTTGATTTTGGTCATATAAAAAAGTGCCCCTTTTGGCCAATGCCTCTCCACTTTCGAAATGCTTCCGCGGCCTCTGTCATATATACAGTTGAGACCAGTTGTTCAAAGGTGGGTTAGCGCTAACCTTCGGTTAAATTTTAACCCGTTGTTTTAGTTTATGTATTTGTGCACGTCTGATTATTTCAAAACGTCAGAAAAGTAATCTCCTGTCGACCCAGATAAGATTTCTGAAGAAATATTTCCAAATTTATAAACAAGCTGTCAAGGAACTGCCGTTTGCTCAGAAGGAAGTTAGACTTTCGAACCGACGGCCCCTGGACATCAATTAGAACAATAAGTGGACAAATATATGGAAAAAACCCAAAACAAAACAAAACAAAACAAAACAAAACAAAACAAAACAAAGGGATATCAGCAAACAAATAAATGAAAATGATTCTGAACGTTAAAGCTAGCCTGGTTTCCATAAGAAGTGTTTCACTCGATGGACCATTGAAATCATACATCAGTTTATATTAATCAGTCAGTTTATATTAAATATGAAAAGGTTCGATCGATGGTTGCTTACTGTATTGGTTCTAATTTTACTAAACCAATTCCATAATCTTATAGTGTCAGAATTCATCTTATACAGGGTGTATAAAAAAAACGCAACCTCGGAATTTCCCAAGAAATCGACATTGTTTTAAAGACAAAAGATTTTAGGCGCCTAGGGAATTTAAAATAACACAACTGTCAAAATTACTGCACACGCGAGTGCATAAAGCAAACTTTATGCATTTATTTAATGCACAACAACAGTAATATGATCTATTAGCAATTCGATTTCAATTCCCAGGGGCCTAAAATCTTTTATGCTTAAGAATTGTAAAGTGA